GCCTCCTTGTTCATCTGCTTATCCTTATTCTCTGTATTACTTTAATCTTTCAATAATAACTTACCTACATTTACCAGGTATACTCAAACAGATAATCCCCCTATAATTTTGCACTCTCTTTTATCCCCTTTGCTTTATAACAAAGGTACTATGCTTGCTCTCTTGCCAATCCCTAGGTACCTTACCCTCTTCCATACATTTATTAAATAATTGCACCAACACTCCAAAAACTATATCCCCACCTGCTTTTTACATTTCTATCTTATCCATCAATCCCGGCTGCTTACCCCCTTTCATTTTACCTACTGCTCATGTGAACTTCCTCCACATCACACTGGGCTCTTCCTCACTCCTGCAAGATGTTTTTTTCTCCTTGCCCTATACACGAAAATCAAACTTCCCTATCTTCATCAACATTTAACAAATTCCTCAAATATATTACCAACTCTTCCCAATACCTCTAATTCTCCCATTTAATAACTCTCCTCTCGTATTTTTAACTGACAAATCCATTTGTTTCTAGGCTTCCTTATCTTGTTAATATAAGCCAAAACTTTTTCTTATTTTCAACAAAAATTTATGAGAAAACCAATTCTCACACACTCTCTCATTGCTCTCTTTTTACATTGATTCACCACTCTCTTAACTCTCTCTTTTTCTCCATATACTCTTCCCTCCTTGCATCACTTCTACTTTGTAAAAAACCTTCTCATTATGCTAACTTTTTCTCCTTTACTCTCTCTTTACATCATCATTCCTCCAATCGTCCTCTTCCCTACCGACCCACTTTCCTGTAACCACAAACTCCTGCTGAAACTCTAACCACTACATTTTAACCTACCCCATCCCCATACCTCTTCTTCGACCCCATTGCCTATGCTCTGCTTTGCCCAACTATCCTCCAATAGCTTGTTTAGATCTTACTATCTGCCTCCTCTTTTAGTTTTTATACCTTCACCTCTCTCTTCCCTGATGCTTGTATTCTCTGGTATCCAATCTACCTTTTACTCTCAGTGTAGCTACAACTAGAACAGTGATCTGATATATCTGTGGCCCTCTATAAACATGTACATCCTGAAGTCTACTAACAGTCTTTTATCTACCAATACATAATCCAACAAATACTGTCATTTCGCCTACATCATATTTGGATACTTATTTTCCTCTGTTTTCTTAAAATATGTATTACCTATAACTAAACCCCTTTCTATACAAATTTCAATCAAAGGGATCCCATTCTCATTACACCTGGCACCCCAAAATACCTACCACACCCTCTCTAAAAGTTTCTCCTACTTTAGCATTCAGGTCCCCTACCACAATTACTCTCTCACTTGGTTCAAAGGCTCTATACATTTCACTTAAATTCCCAATATCTCTCTCTCTCCTTACATTCCTCTCTTCTCCAGGTGCCATACTCGCTTGTTAATGGGACCCAATTTCGCACCCAACCTTTACTTTAATACAACAAATCTTGAATTTACACATTATCTTCTCTTTTCTCCCTTCCATAACTGATCAGTTACCATTACTGTTACCCCTTCCTTTGATCTAACTCTCTCTGATTACTTCCAGATTATTATCCCATTTATTGCCCCCCACTGAAAACTCCCCTACCCCCTTCAGCTTTGTTTCGCTTAGGGCCAGGACATCCAACTTCTTTTCATTCATAACATCAGCAATCATCTGTTTCTTGTCATCCGCACTACATCCACGCACATTTAAGCATCCCAGTTTTATATATATATATGGTAGTAGGTTGGTAGACAGCAACCACCCAGGGAGGTACTACCATCCTGCCAAGTGAGTGTAAAACGAAATCTGTAATTGTTTTTACATGATGGTAGGATGCTTGTGTCTTTTGTCCTGTCTCATAAATATGCAAGATTACAGGTACGTCTTGCTACTTCTACTTACACTTAGGTCGCACTACACATGTACACGTTTATTTATTCATACTCATCTGAGTTTTCTTTGATTTTATCTTAATGTCTTGTTCTTTTACTTTTTCTTTTATATCCATGTTGAAGTGGGAATAAGAATCTTTCTCGTAAGCCATGCATGTTGTAAAAGTCAACTAAAATGCCGGTGTAACATTGGGCTAGTAACCCCTTTTCCGGTAATAATTACTAAAAAGAATAGAATAGAAAATTGTCAAAGTGGGAATGTCTGATTGTGCGTGGATGTTGTGAAATGATAAAGAGATGCTTGTGGTTGTTATGAATGAGAAGAAGCAGGATGTCTGTGCTTCTAGTGAATACATGCTGAAGGGCGGGGTGGGGTAAGTTTCAGTGGAGAGGAATAAATGGGATTAGGTCAAGGGCTTCAAATAGAGTTAGAGCTAAAGAAGGTGTAGCAATAATGTTGAAGGATAAGCTATAGCAGGAAAAGAGGGACTATAAATGACTATAGGCCTCATTTAGACTATGCTGCTCAGTTCTGGTCACCGTATACAGAATGGATGTAATGCTCTGGAAACCGTACAGAGGAGGATGACAAAGATGATTCCCATGTATCAGAAATCTTCCCTATGAGGATAGACTGAGGGCCCTGAATCTGCACTCTCTCGAAAGGCGTAGAATTAGGGGGGATATGATCGAGGTGTATAAATGGAAAACCGACGAATAAATAAAGGGGATGTAAATAGTGTACTGAAAATTTCAAAAGCCAGACAGGACTCGCAGCTATGGTTTCAAGTTGGTAAAAATTCAGATTCGGGAAGGATATAGGAAAGCACTGGTTTGGTAATAGAGTTGTGGATGTGTGGAACAAACTCCCGATGAACAGTTATTCAGGCTAAAACGTGTTGTAGTTTTAAAAATAGGGTTAAATACATGAGTGGGGGTGGGTGGGGTGTGAGTTGGACCTGACTAGCTTGTGCTGATGGGTCTGGTGCGTGGTCCATCCTTGGTGGAGGTGAGCAGACTCTGGGTGGGTCCATTGGGCTAATCCGGGGGGGTCAATTGGGCTAAATCCGGGGGGGTCATTGGTCTTAATCGGGGGGTGACTTGGACCTGCTCTGCATGGGGTCAGTAGGCCTGTTGCAGTGTTCCTCTATTTTTATGTTCTTATTTCTTATAATTGAGGATTATGTGTAGTAACTAAAGATTGGATGTGAAACGTTTTATAGTAAGTGTATATGCGCCTGGGAGAAGGAAGAAGGTGTAGAGGAAAGAGAGATTTTTGGGAAATGTTGAGTGATGTATGATGGGGAGTTTTGAACCCAAGTATGGAGTACTTGTGGTTGGGGATTACAATCAATGCTGAAGTGGGTAAAAAGTTGTGGAGGGAAGTAGTAGGTAATTTGGGGTGCAGGGGTAAATGAAACTGGGGAGTTTTTAATTGTGCTATGTGTAGAAAGAGGTTTGGTAATAAGCATTACTATTTTATGAAAAAGAGGATAAATAAATATTCAAGGTATGTTCTTGCACGTACCCTAATGAAAGAGTTTGTTTTAGACATTATGTATTGGTGGATAAAAGGTCGATGGGTAGGCTCCAGGATTAACGTATATAGAGGGGTAACTGATATATCGGATCATTATTTTGTTGTTGCTACAGTTAGAGATAAAGAGATAGGATGGGACAAGAGGAAAATGGCAACAACAATTATTACGAGGGGAGGTGAGGTGAAGGGTGTATAAAGTAAAGAGGGGCTGTTAGGGTCAGATATAAGCAACTATTGGAGGATAGATGGGCTAGTGAGAGTATAGCAAATGAGTCATAGATTGTATGGGGTAGGTTAAGAAGAATGTAGTGTTAGAGTGTTCAGCAGAAGTTTGTGGTTACAGGGACAGTGGGTGTGTGGGAGGGAAGAAGAGCGATTGGTGGAATGATGATTTAAAGAGAGTAGTAAGGGAGAAAAAGTTAGCATATGACGGGGTTTTACAAAGTGGGTGAGATGTTATCAATAAAGTTTGTTGAAAATAAGAAAAACTTTTGGAGTGGGATTATTAAGTTGAGGAAGCCTAGGGAACAAATGGATTTGACAGTTAAAAATAGGAGAGGAGAGTTATTACTGGAAAAGTTAGGAGGTGGGTATTGAGATGGATGGAGGAATATATTGTAAGATTGTTAAATGTTGATGAAAATAGGGAAGCTGTGATTTCGTGTATAGGGCAAGGAGGAGGGCTGGTGAAGTACGAGTAGTGGGAAGGGGTTGAAGAGGTTGGAATAGTTTATTAAAATGCAGTATGCGAAATGTGGGGCAGAAGTTTGTGGTAATGGATGGTGGGTGCAGGAGGGGGGAAAGAGGATGTGATTGGTGGAATATGAAGTAAAGGGTGTGATAAAGAGAAAAAAGTTGCTTATGAGAGGTTTTTGCAAATCAGAAGTGTTATAAGAAGAGTTAGGGAGTATATGGAGAGTAAAAGGAAAGGTGAAGAGAGTGATGAGAGAGTGCAAAAGGGATGAGCAAGATGATAGAGTAGGAGAGGCACTGTCAAGAAATTTTAATGAAAATAAGAAAAAAATTGGAAAGTGAGTTTTAAAACAAGTTAGAAAGCCTAGGGAACGAATGGTTTGTCCAATTAAAACAGAGTAGGGGGCGTTAGTAGATGGGGAGATGGAGGTATTGGGTAGATGGCCAGAAGATTTTGAAGGGGGGAAACTTGTTAAATGTCGATGAAGAAAGGAGGCGGTTACGTAATTTCTGCACTAGCCAGGGAGGTATACGTTTTTTAGGAGTGAAGAAGAGCAGGATGTGAGTGTGGGGGAGGTGGTTGAGGCATTAGATAGAATGAAAGGGGGTTAAGCAGCCTGGAACTGACGGATCATGACAGAAATGTTAAAAGAAGGGGGGGGATTAGTGTTGGGAAGTGGTTGGTATTTTTGTTTAAAAAATGTATGAAAGAGGGCAAGGTATCTAGGATTGGCAGAGAGCATGTATAGTCCCTTTTATATAAAGGGAAAGGGGACAAAAGAGATTGTATAAATTGTATGAGGAATAATTTAACAGAGTGTACAACGAAAAGTGTATGGTAGGGGTTATTGAAAAGAAGTTGAGGTAAGACAGAACGAGGGATTGCAGATGAGGCAAGAGGTTTCAGAGTGGGTAAGGGATGTGTAGATTCATGTGTTTACACTGGAAGCATATATGTGAAACAGTATCTAGTATAAAGGTAGGAGCAAGTTTTATTGCTTTTATGGATTTTAGGAAAGGCATATGATTAGAGTGGAATAGGGGTGCAATTGCTGGCAAGATGTTGCAATTATCTGGATATGTGGTAAGTTACTAAAAGCTGTAAGAGTTTTTATGAGGGATATTGAGGCTCAGGTTAGGGTTGTAGAAGAGAGGGAGACTTACTTCCGGCGTAAAAGTAGGTTTTAGGCAGGGATGTGTAATGTCACAGTTGTTTAAATATATTTATTGATGGGGTTGTAAAAGAGTAAATGCTAGGGTGTTCGGGGGATGTTGTGGATTAAATTTTGGGGAATCAAATACAATGGGAATTGACTCAGTAATTTTTGTGATAATTCTGTGCTTATGGGAGTATACTAAAGAAAATTGCAAAGGGTTTGGGATGTGTGGTGTAAAGTGAAAGTTGTAAGCAAACATAGAAAAGTGTAAGGTGATGAGGGTAACATATGATTTAGATAAAGAAAAATGGGATATAAAATTGGGGAGGTGGAGTATGGAAGAAGTGATAGTTTTTCAGATATTTGGAGTGAGTGTCAGCGGATGGATTATGAAGGATAAGGTTACTCACAGAATGATGAAGGAGAAAGGTGATGTGGTGCATTGAGGTATATGTGGAGACATAAACGTTATCTATGGAGCCAAAGATGGGAATGTTATGAAAAGTATAGTAGTCCAACATCTTTTATGGATGTGAAGCTTGGTGGTAAATGCAGCAGCAAGGAGGCGGTTAATGGCACTGGAGATGTCCTGTCTAAGGGCAATGTGTGAGTAAATATTATGCAGAAAATTCGGAATGTGGAAATTAGGAGAGGTGTGGAGTTTATAAATTATTAGTCAGAGGGCTGAAGAGGGGTTATTGAGGTGGTTTAGTCATTTAGAGAGAATGGATCAAAGTAGAATGACATGGAGAGCGTATAAATCTGGAGGTGAAGGAAGGCACCCCGGGCGTAGGGGCCCGTCCTCGAAAAGGTTAGAGGGAGGGGATATAAGGAGGTTTTGTGGGAGAAGGGCTTGGACTTCCAGCAAGCGTGCGTGAGCGTATTAGATAGGAGTGAATGGAGACGAATGATATTTTGGAGTGTGAGCAGGGTAATATTTAGTGAAGGGATTCAGGGAAACCGGTTATTTTTATTTAGCCGGACTTGACTCCTGGAAATGGGAAGTACAATGCCTGCACTTTAAAGGAGGGGTTTTGGGGTATTAGCAGTTTGGAGGGATATGTTGTGTATCTTTATACGTATATGCTTCTAAACTGTTGTGTTCTGAGCACCTCTGCAAAAACAGTGATTATGTGTGAGTGAGGTGAAATTGTTGAATGATGATGAAAGTATTTTCTTTTTGGGGATTTTCTTTCTTTTTGAGTCACCCTGCCTCGGTGGGAGACGGCCGACTTGTTAATTTATATAATGTGATGTTAAGCAATGTTAACGATGTTGTTGGTGTGGCCGGCCACAGGCAAGGTGTCAGCAGTGATGGGAGCTCTGGACGGCGCCATCGCTATGGTCATCTTCTCTCTCTACACCGCCATCTACCACGCTACCGTACACGTCTTTCCCGGTGCTCAGTTCTTCTTCGGTGCTGCAGCTAACCTCCTCATGACCTGCATATTCATGTGAGTAGGAAGTACCATGCTGGGTCCAGTTTAGTGCAGCATGATGATGGTTTACTCAGGAAAGGAACAATCACCTCTAGTGGAAATAAGTCACTTTGTGTGTTCTGGAGACCACTCTCATGTAATTTTATATACTGTGTACATAGAGCCTATATAAAATCTTACTGATGAAGCTGCTAGGTAGAATGTTAATGCTTCTTCATTGTATGTGACAGAATTATAATTTTATTATATTTATAGGTAAACTGTAAATCAGTAGGGATCATAAGAAGTCTCGATGAGCTGTTATTGTGTCTCATCTCATTTCAAAGGTTTTGAAATGTGCCGAGGCAAGAAACAGCTCAGTGTACAGCATATGTTCCCAATATAAAAAATAAACAAATCCTGGTGAGGATCCAGACTTCACCAGCTCATGATTCACTTGTGTTATTAACAATCCACTACATATTCACTCATTATGTGTTAGATTACCCAGAAGCTTTTAACTTTCTTTTGTGAATTATAGTTAGAGCTGATGCTTCTCTTCACTTTCTTCAGAAAAACAACATGCATTTATATATATTTGATATATATATTATATATATATATATTTATATATATATATATATATTTAATATATATATCTATATATATATCTTATATATATATATGTCGTGCCGAATGAGGCAGAACTTGAGATCTTGGCTTAAATAGCGTACGCTCATCTTGCCTTATAGGACAAGCGAAAATTTGGTGTATGCTATAATTTCGCCAAAAATATTTCTGAAACTACGAGAAAAATCATATTTCACTGTATTGTTTAGTATTAAATTACTGTAAACGTATCTTAAATATATTTAGTTGGGGTAGGCCAAAATAAATTGCGCTTGTTTTTAATAAGGTTTGGTAAAGTTTTCTAGATTTTTTTGGTATACAAAATTAATATTTTTTACTTAACATTAATGGAATAAATATATCTTTAAACGTATAAGAAGAAAATTTTAGAAGGACTTAATTGTAAATGAGTTCTTGCGAATTGACCAGTTTTACATTATTCGGCACGATATATTATATATATATTTATATATATATATATATATTATATATATATATTATATATATATATATATATTTATATATTATATATTGAATCCATCCAAAGTGATAAATGCCGTGAAGATCAAAACTACCGGGAGCAGCAGTCATTGCCCCTCAAAACAGTGTTTTGTAAGGAAGACCTTGGGAAATGCAATGCCATTGACACAATTTCAGGAATATAAATTGAAGAAAAAGAGTTAAGGAGAGGGAATGGAACACGAATTAGGCAATCTGGGGACACCTCGATGCCTTGTTACCTTCTCACAAAGTGGCTTGAGTCTGCTCAGGTTGACATATTTTCTAAAGATGTGCACCTTCATAGATAACCTTACTTGCACGAATTTATGACCCAGTATCCTGAGGGCAGATTTTCGAAAGTACTTAACCTTACTCTAGAAGACGGGCAGTGGAACTAAGCTAACACTTTCCAGTCAGACTAGGAGGCATTGGTGTCCGCAAGTCATCACAGATTGCGCTACCTGCTTTTCTGTCTCGTGCTGTATTAGCATCCAGAGGGCTTGTAGCAGCGATTCTCCCTGAACATCTTAGGGACAAGATTGGAGGCCAGGACCAAAAGTTTATTGACGGAGCCATGATCTGGGATAGATCTAACGGGCTCTGAAAACCAGGACCGCTCCCCCCAAAACTACAAACAATAGCCACTGGGATAAGTCCCAATAGTGGAAAATATTGCATCAACAGGCTTCAGAGTGTGGTAAGGGAAGGGATAGAGCCCGCCTCTGGCAGTTGAGAGCTTTCCTATGAGGGGATTTCTGTTGGCTGTTCCCAAACTACAGCCTTGGACACGCTTTCAGACCCACAGACCGTCCGCATCGGTGTTGCTTCGACTTCCCACGACCCTTTCTCGCGAACACAGGTGTATTTTGTGGTGTGAACCAGCAGACCGATTAGGGTACCACGGTCTTGATTATTTACCGTAAATCCGAGGGAAGATTGCCATGGACATGAGGAGGTTAATTATAACATTCTCAAGAGGGAGCCTCACAACAGCCGGATGTCCAGCAGTAAGGGAGCCATCCCAGCTAATGCAGTTCTGATGGCAGCTAAAAGCGTCAGATCTGGTATCACCCTTCAAGCTTGGACAGATGGGAAGCAGGTGGTGTGTGGGGACTATACATGTGCATCTAACCTTGCTGATTACTATCTACAATACACAGGGAGGAAGGAAGGGCAGCTGCAACTTCAGGGAGTCCCAAGTCTAGGAAATATGGAGAAACCTGCCCTTTATATGTTTGTTTCCATCGGCTCAGAGACCCTTGGCTCATGGGAAAGAATGATCTAAATTCCTTAAGGAGCTGGGATAAAGACTCATCAGGGTAAACTAGGGATCCCAGGGTAGCTAGTTTTCTGTTCCAGCGCTAGTGCGGCTGTTTTCAAAGGGGTAATGCCTGCTGTATTTTGGGACACGCCCAGCTTGAGAGCTGGATGAGATTATCACCTTATAATCGGTGATACACAGTAACAACATGTACCGTATATGCCACTTTATATGTATATATATATTATATATATGATATATATATATATAAATATATTATATATTATATATATAATATTATATATACATATATATATATATATATATATATATATATAGACTGTTTATATATATATATATATATATATTATAGATACATTATATTGTATATATAATATATATTATATATATATATATATACATTTATATATATATATGTTTATATATTTATACATTGTGAGGCGCCCGTATGCTGCGGCAAGTTATTTGGTTGTGTGTTTGAGTGTGTGTATCACATGGTTGTGGTTGGGGGGGTCGATTCACAGCTCCTGGCCCCCGCCTCTTCATTGCCGACTACCGGTCACTCTATCCCTTCCGTGAGCTTTATTATACCTCTTCTTAAAGCTATGTATGGATACTGCCTCCACTACATCACTACCCAGGCTGTTCCACTTCCTGACAACTCTGTGATGAAGAATAATTCTACATTCACTGTGGTTCATCTGAGTCTTCAGCTTCCAACTGTGACTCCTCGTTGCTGTGTCCCATCTCTGGAACATTGTGTCTTAGTCCACCTTGTCTATACCTCTCGCTATTTTATATGTCGTTATCTTATCATTCCTAATTCTCCCGTCTTCCAGTGTCTTCAGGTCGATTTCCCTTAACCTCTCCTCGTAGGACATACCCTGTAGCTCCGGGACTAGTCTTGTTGCAAACCTTGGCACTTTCTCTAGTTTCTTTACACGCTTGGCTAAGTGAGGGTTCCAAACTGGCGCTACATATTCCAATATGAGCCTAACGTACACAGTGTACAGGGTCCTGAATGACTCCTTATTTAGATGTTGAAATGCTGTTCTTGGGTTTTCCAGGCGCCCATGAGCTGCGGGAGTTATTTGGTATATGTGCACCTCAAGAGATGTGCCTGGTGTTATGCTCACACCAAGATCCCTTTCCTTAAGTGAGGTTTGTAGTCTCTGGTCCCCTAGACTGTACTCTGTCTGTGGTCTTCTTTGCCGTTCCCCAATCTGCATGACTTTGCACTTGGTGGGGTTGAACTCCAGGAGCCAGTTTCTGGACCAGGTCCGCAGTCTGTCCAAATCCCTCTCCCTGAACCGTGAAGTTTATCATACCTCTGCTTAAAGTATGTATGTATAGATCCTGCCTCCACTACATCGCTTCCCAAACTATTCCACTTACTGACTACTCTGTGGCTGAAGAAATACTTCCTAACATCCCTGTGATTCATCTGTGTTTTCAACTTCCAACTGTCTCCACTTGTCACAGTGTCCAATCTCTGGAACATCCTGTCTTTGTCCACCTTGTCAATTCTTCTCAGTATTTTGTATGTCGTTATCATGTCCCCCCTATCTCTCCTCGTAGGACATACCTCTTAGCTCTGGGACTAGTCTTGTTGCAAACTTAGCACTTTCTCTAGTTTTCTTTACGTGCTGGTAGGTGTGGGTTCCCAATCGGTGCGCATACTCCTATATGGGCCTAACGTACACGGAGTACAGGGACCTGATAACGATTTCCTTATTAAGATGGCGGAATGCTCTGTTTGAGGTTGCTAGGCACCCATATGCTGCAGCAGTTATTGGTTGATGTGAGTACAGGAGAAGGTGCTCGGTGTTTATACTCACCCCAGATCTTTTTCTTGTGTGAGGTTTGTTAGTCTCTGGCCCCCTACACTGTACTCCGTCGTCTGCGGTCTTCTTTGCCTTTCCCCAATCTTTCAAGACTTTGCACTTGGTGGGGTTTTGAACCTCCAGGAGCCAATTGCTGGACCAGGTCTGCAGCTTGTCGATTTATGTATATTTCTGCTGGACTTCGATCGAATGAATTCTTCTCTTCAACTTCAGTACATCTGCAAACAGGGACCACTCTGAGTTTATTCCTTCAGTCATGTCGTTCACAAATCAGCCTCAACAGCACTTGTCCTAAGACTGACCCCGTGGGGGACCCGCTGGTCCAACAGTGTGCCATTTTCTGACACCTCGCCACGTACCTTGACTCGCTGCTGTCTTACTGACTAAAAAGTGTCCATGATCCACTGTATGTGCCTTCCCTTACATAATCTCTTGTGTGGAACTGTATCAAACGTCCCGTATTGCAGTCTCCAAGAAGTGCATCCACCCACCCCTCTCTCTTCTGGTCTTACTGTTGTTCCACCATGTCATAGAACTCCAGTAGGTTTGTGAACAGAATTTCCCGGTCCCTGAACCATGTTGGCTGCTGTTGATGAGATCATTCATTTCTAGGTGACTCCACAACTCTTTGCTAATCTTCTCCATGACTTTGGCATACTATACATGTCAGTGACATGGTCTGTAGTTTAGTGCTTCATGTCTGTCTCCTTTATAAATGACTGGGGACTACTTTGCTGTCTTCCAGGTCAGGCAAATCTCCATGTTTCGATAGATGTATTGAATATTGTTGTTAGGGCACACATAGCGCCTCTGCTCCCTCTCTCAGGAGCCATGGAGAGATGTTATCCGGCCCCATCGCCTTTGAGGAATCTAGCTCACTCAGAAGCCTCTTCACTTCTTCCTCGGTTGTGTGCACTGTGTCCAGCACATGGTGGTGTGCCCCACCTCTCCGTCTTTCTGGAGCCCCTTCTGTCTCCTCTGTGAACACTTCTTTGAATCTCCTGTTGAGTTCCTCACATACTTCACGGTCATTTCTTGTTGTCTCTCCTCCTTCCTTCCTTAGCCTGGTCCTTGACTGTTGTTTTCCTCCTGATGTGGTTGTATAACAGTTTCGGGTCAGATTTGGCTTTCGCTGCTATGTCGTTTTCATATTGTCTTTGGGCCTCCCTTCTTATCTGTGCATATTCGTTTCTGGCTCTATGACTGCTCTCCTTATTCTCCTGGGTCCTTTGCCTTCTATATTTCTTCCATTCTCTAGCACACTTGGGTTTTGCCTCCCTGCACCTTTGGGTGAACAATGGGCTCATCCTGGCTTTTTCATTATTCCTGTTACCCTTGGGTACAAACCTCTCCTCAGCCTCCTTGCACATTGTTGCTTCATATTCCATCACCTCATTAACTGGCTTCCCTACCAGTTCTCTGTCCCACTGAACCCGTTCAGGAAGTTCCTCATTCCCGTGTAGTCCCCTTTCTTGTAGTTTGGCTTCATTCGTCCTGGTCTTCCTGCTTCTCCCTCCACTTGTAACTCTACTGTGTATTCGAAGCTTAAAACCACATGATCGCTGGCCCCAAGGGGTCTTTCATATGTGATGTCCTCAATATCTGCACTACTCAAGGTGAATACTAAGTCCAGTCTTGCTGGTTCATCTTCTCTCTCTCTTGTAGTGTCCCTTACGTGTTGGTACATGAAGTTTTCCAGTGCCTCCTCCATCATCTTAGCCCTCCATGTATCTTGGCCCTCATATGGCTCCAAGTTCTCCCAATCGATTTCCTTGTGGTTAAAGTTGCCCATGATCAGGAGCTTTGTCCTGCATGCATGATCTCTTCTGGCCACTGCAGCCAGTGTGTCAATCATCGCTCTATTGCTCTCGTCATACTCTTGCCTTGGCCTCCTGCTGTTCTGTGGTGGGTTATACATCACTGCAATTACCACCTTGGGACCTCCAGAGTGAGGCGTTCCCGCTATGTAATCACTTGCTTCTCCGCTGTCTCCTCTCTCCAGCTCATCATAATTCCATCGGTTTTTGATCAGCAGTGCCACTCCTCCACCCTCCCTGTTCCCTCTGTCTTTCCTCAGTGTGTGTGTGTGTGTGTGTGTGTGTGTGTGTGTGTGTGTGTGTGTGTGTGTGTGTGTGTGTGTGTGTGTGTGTGTGTGTGTGTGTGTGTGTGTGTTGTGTGTGTGTTATGTGTGTGTAGTGTGTGTGTGTGTGTGTGTGTGTGTGTGTGTGTGTGTGTGTGTGGTGTGTGTGTGTGTGCGTGCGTGCGTGTGTGTACTCACCTAACTATGGTTGCATGGGTCGATTCATAGCTCCTGGCCCCGCCTCTTCACTTGTCACAGGTAGGTCAACTCTCTCCCTGCTCCAGGAGCTTTATCATACCTCTTCTTAAAGCTATGTATGGTACCTGCCTCCACTTTCCGGACTGTTCCACTTTCTGAAAACTTTATGACTGGAAAAAATACTTCCTACCTAACGTCCTTGTGACTCATCTGTGTCTTCAACTTCCAACTGTGACCCCTTGTTGCTGTGTCCCATCTTTGGAAGATCCTGTCTCTGTCCACCTTGTGTATTCCTCTTAGTATTTTGTATGTCGTTATCATGTTTCCTCTATCTCTCCTGTCCTCCAGTGTCGTCAGGTCGAGTTCCCTTTACCTCTCCTCGTAGGACATGCCCCTTATTTGGGGGGGAAAAAAAAACCTTTTTTTTTTTTTTTGGGGTTTTTTTGGCCCCCAAAAATTTTTTTTTTGGGTTTTTTTTTTTTTTTTTCCCCCCGGGGTTTTTTTAAATTTTCCCCCCCCCTTTTTTTTTTTTTTTTGGGGGGCCCCCCCTTTTTTTAATTTTCCCTTTTTTTTGGGGCCCCGGGCCCCCCCCCCTTTTTTTCGGGCCCGGAAAAGGGGGGGGTTTTTTTTTTTTTTCCCCCCCAACCTTTTGGGTTCCCTTTTTTGGGGGGGGTTTTTTTTTTTTTGGGATTTAAAAGGGGGCCCTTCCCCAAAAAGGGGGCCCCCGGGGCCCCCCGGAAAAATTTTTTTTTTTTGGGGGGGTTTTTTTTTTTTTTTTCCCTCTTTTGGGGGTTTGGGGGTGTTTTTTTTTTGGGGGGTTTTTTTTTTTTTTTGGGGGGTTTTTTTTTTTGGGGTGTGGTTTGGTTTTTTGGGTTTTTGGTTTTTTGGGGGGGGTTTTTATTTTTTTTTTTTTGGGGGGTTTTTTTTGGGGGGCGGGGGGGGGGGGAAAAAAAGGGGGGGGTTTTTTTTTTTTTTTTTTTCCCCCCCCTTTTCCCCTTTCCTTTTTTTTTTTTTTTAAAAATTTTCCCCCTTTTTTTTTAAAAAGGGGAAAAAACCCTTTTTAATTTTTGAAAAAAAATTAAATTCCCCCCCCCCTTTTTTTTTTTTTTCCCCCTTTTTTTTTTTTCTTTTTTTTTTTTATTTTTTTTTTTTTTAAAAAAAATTTTTTTTCCCCCGGGGGGGTTTTTTTTGGGGGGGTTTTTTTAAACCCCTTTTTTTTTAAAAAGGGGCCCTTGGGGGGTTAAAGGGGGGGGAAAATTTTTTGGGTCAAAAAGGGGAAAGGGTTTTTGGGGGGCCCCTTTTTTTAAAAGGGGGGAATTTTTAACCCAAACCCCCTTGTTTTGAAAAAAAAAATTTTGGGTTTTTGGGGGGCCCCCCCCGGGGGGAAAAAAAAAAAAAGGGTTTGGGATAAAACCACTGTGTAGCAAAACGTTTCCTTTAATCAAGATTCACAATGGGAAAAAGTGTCTCAATCTTCAAATTGTTCCTTTTTTAAACCATTTATCACACATACGCGTTTTATGATTTATGTGCGCCTTTTTGGGGGTTGGGGCTCGGTATTTACTCACCTCAAGTCCTTTTCCTTTAGTGGGTTTGTGTCTTTGGGGCCCCTCTAGACTGCACTCGGTCTGCGGTTTTCTTTGCCCTTCCCCGATCTTCATGACTTAGCACTTGATGGGGCTGTGTGTGTGTGTGTGTTTGTGTACTCACCTATTTGTGGTTACAGGGGTCGATCCCTAGCTCCTGGCCCCGCCTCTTCACCGGTTGCTACTGGGTCCTCTCTCTCCCTGCTCCATGAGCTTTATCAAGCCTCGTTTTAAAACTATGTATGGTTCCCGCCTCCACTACGTCACTTTCTAGGCTATTCCACTGCCTGACAACTCTATGACTGAAGAAATACTTCCTAACATCCCTTTGATTCATCTGAGTCTTCAACTTCCAATTGTGACCTCTTGTTTCTGTGTCCCATCTCTGGAACATCCCGTCTTTGTCCACCTTGTCTATTCCGCGCAGTATTTTATATGTCGTTATCGTGTCTCCCCTGACTCTCCTGTCCTCCAGTGTCGTCAGGCCGATTTCCCTTAACCTTTCTTCATAGGACATTCCCCTTAGCTTTGCAACTAACCTTGTCGCAAACCTTTACACTTTCTCTAATTTCTTGACGTGCTTGATAAAGTGCGGGTTCCAAACAGGTGCTGCATGCTCCAGTATGGGCCTGACGTACACGGTGTACAGTGTCTTGAACGATTCCTTACCAAGGTATCGGAACGCTGTTCTCAGGTTTGCCAGGCGCCCATATGCTGCAGCAGTTATCTGGTTGATGTGTGCTTCCGGAGACATGTTCGGTGTTATACTCACCCCAAGATCTTTCTCCTTGAGCGAGGTTTGCAGTCTTTGGCCACCTATCCTATACTCCGTCTGCGGTCTTCTGTGCCCTTCCCCGATCTTCATGACTTTGCATTTGGCGGGGTTAAATTCGAGAAGCCAGTTGCTGGACCAGGTGTCCAGTCTGTCCAGGTCTCTTTGAAGTCCTGCCTGATCTTCATCTGATTTAATTCTCCTCATTAACTTCACATCATCTGCGAACAGGGACACTTCTGAGTCTAACCCTTCCATCATGTCGTTCACATAGGACCGACCCCGGTGGGACCCCGTTCGTCACAGGTGCCCACTGTGATACCTCATCACGTACCATGACTCGTTGTTGCCTCCCTGTCAGTTATTCTCAGATCCATTGCAGTGCCCTTCCTGTTATATGTGCCAAAGGCCTTCTTGCAGTCCAAAAAAGTGCAATCAACCCACCACTCTCTCTCGTCTTACTGTGTGTGTGTGTGTTGTGTGTGTGTTGTGTGTGTGTGTGTGTGTGTGTGTGTGTGTGTGTGTGTTTTTTGTGTGGTTTTTGTGTGTGTGAAAATATATGATAATTTATTATTATTATTATTATTATTAAATTTTTATTATTATTATTATTATTATTATTATTATTATTAATATTATTATTATTATTAATTGTGTAGTAGCAGTAGTAGTATAGAGTTATAATTCACCTCACACACTTCGTTTCTCACACAGCTTCATCATAGCTTCGTCCACCTCAAGAAGCTATAACGTGGACGACCTCAAGTCCGAGGAAGGTTCCAGTGCTGTGAAGCCCATGTCACTGAGATTCGTCAGCGAGCGTCTCAATCACCATGTCTTGCCATCTACTGGCAAACCTTTGGAGCCCTTAGACCTGGATGCCCAGCGGACCTCCCTCGTCCTTTCCGACGTCAACTTCCACATTGCAACACCCTGCAGAAAAAAGAAGGTCCAGAGGCCACCAAACAAACACTTGGGTGCCAACAACTCTGGTCTTTTCATTGTTAGTGAAAATTCGGACTTCGAAAGAAAAGCCGTCGAAGACGAACTAACTTTCCCGCAGAAACACGTACCGAAGATTCTGCTGGATTCTAAGAGGAAAGAAACTACTGGAGTGGATAATTCCACGTTCAGCAGTCAAGACGTCGAGACTGTGGTTCTTGACGGGGAAGTGAAAAAAAAACCAGTGATTCTCAGTCCGAGTTCTCTTGTGTTGACAAGTGACTCAAAGTAAAGAACCTGTGAGTGTAAGCAAATTCCTTTACCAGTGTTCTCTTGTGCTGGTAAAAGTTTGTGGAAAACTTCATTTTATGAGGGGCCTCGATTACTGTCGTGATGACAGGCCCAGTATAGACATTGATGATGATAATCCTGTGATAATTATTATAATTCTCCTGATATGGCTGTGCGTTGTAGTACTGCCACCAGTATTAGTACCTATCAGACTGGTATGAAGCTAACATACCAAGGCATAAAGTACTCATATACTGAAGCGAAGTATCGACAGTATCAACAGTCTTGATTTACGCATCCGTGAGGGTGTCGTACGCACCAGTATTACTGACTTAACAATGCTGACGTGTATGCCGTTAACAGTAACTAAAATCAAGATTACACTGAGACATCTATCGTCAAGATTGGTGCTAAGGTATCGTTAATACTGTAAACATTACATAAGAAATTATTAGTTTTCATTACTTGTTTATAACAGAATAATGGACGAACATCATTAATATAAAGGTGATAATTATTTACAAAATGAGAACTAAATATACTTTTATTTTAAGAAAATTGAAAAATATATGTTCATGCGAAACTTATTAATATAAATAGTGCAAAACGAAATTTACAGGAGAGCACAGCACTGCCCTTGCCCAGCTCACAAATGTTTAAGGGAGCCAGCATTTGCCCTTTGGGCCCAGTCACAAATGTTTACGGAGAGAAACCCCCCACTGCCCTTTTCCCCAGCCCACTAATTTTTTGTTTCCTCCCTCTTGTCAAGCTAAAATTTTTTTCCAAATTTGTGAAAATGTTTTTTAATTCCCACTAAAAAAAAAGGGGCTTATATCATGACGATGAGAGAAAAAAATTATTTTCTCAGGGCCTGGAACAAGACTGGCCGGGGAGGCTTTTAGAATGATTGGTTTTAGTGGTTTTAGCATGATTGGTCCTAGGGGTTTTAGAATGATTGGCCCTGGGGGGTTTTTTTCTGGGGGAAATTTTGGTTTTTTTGGGGGGTTTTTAAATGATTGGGGGTTCTAGGTTGGGTTTTCTAGAATGATTGGTTTGGGGGTTCTGGGGGAAATGATTGGTTTTAGGGGTTCTAAAAATATTGGTCCTGGGGACGATTGGCCCATTGGTTTTTACAATTTTTGCCCGTGGGGGGTTCTAAAATTGTTTGGGTTTTTTTAGGGGCTCTAGAATGATTGTTTCTTAGGGGTTTTCTACCCATGATAGGTCCTAGGGTTTAGAATGATTGGTCCTATTATCATTATAATATGGGGGAGGGGAAAACCCGGGGGTTGATGGGTCATAGGGGGCTCTAAAATGATTGGTTCTAGTGGCTCTAGAATGTTTGGGTTTAAAAAAATTTAGTGGGTTTTCTAGAATGATTGACCCAGGTGGTTTCTAGAATGATTGGCCCAAAATGGCTCTAGAATTTTTTGGTCCCAGTGGCTCTAGAATGATTGGTTATGGCTCTAGAATGATTAAACCCCTGTGGTTTTTTAAAATGATTGGTCATATTTGGCTCTAAAATTGATTGGTCTTAGTGGATCAGAAGTTTGGTCATAGTGGCTGTAAAATGTTTGGTCATGTGGCTGTAGAATGATTGGCCTAGTGGCTCTAAAAATGATTGACCCAGGGGGTTCTAAAAAATTTAAAATTGGCCCTTAATGGCTCTAGAATGTTTGGTCCTAGTGGCTTAGAATGTTTGGCCCTATTTGGCTGTAAAATTTTTGGCTAGTGGCTCTAGAATGGGGGTCATAGTTTTTTCTAGTTTGGTTTGGCCCTAGGGATTAAATGTTTTGGCCCTAGTGGTTAAATGATTGGTCTAGGGTCTAGAAGGGTTTGGGTCATAGTGGATTGGGAATTTGGTTGGTCCTAGTGGTTGTATAAGGATTGGTCCTAGTGGCTCTAGAAGGGTTTGGGGCCCATAGTGGCTCTAGAATGAGTGGAACCAGAATTTTCCCTCGTCTTTAGTGATTTTTTTTTATGACGGGAAACTTAGATAATCTTGGCCCAGAGTTGCAAATCTCCCGTAACAGATGATTCATCTTATTTGACTGGTGTTAAGGTTTCAGCTGGTGCTTCCAGTGCCTGGGTGTTGTTCTACCTTAGGCAGTCTTAGGGAGGTCTACTGACTGATTCCTGGGTTTTGCCCTTTGGCCGTTAAGGCCTTAAAAAGCTAGATGCTGTCTTTCCCTTTGGTCTGTTAAGGTAGGCCCCCCTTGCTGACTTCTGTTTCCCGCCCTTTGGCCTGTTAGGACTTTTAATATAGCTGACATCTGTCTTGCCTTAGGCTGTGTATTGTTTTTTGGCAGGCCTAAATTTCTGAAGCTTTTCTGCCTTAGACCGTATTGGGTAGGTTTACAAAGCTAGAGGTTTTTCTTGCCATTTTTTCGCAGACCTGCGACGCCCTCCTGGGCAGGGCCCACCTATGTGACAGCTATATTTTCCGTCGTGGTTTAAAGACGCAGCCCTTGCCCGACCTACTCTTACTGGGTAAAAGAAAATTCCATAAATAAATTTTTACAAAACTCCGGACAGATTCTTTTGACACCCTTTTTCAAGTTTAGCATTTGAGGGGACCCCTTTCAAAATTGGGGTACAGGAAAGATAATGTTTTAAAGTGATGCATGTATCGGGTTAAAAGATAAGTGGGTCCCCACACACGATCACTTGTCTTTTTTACCAAAGGGCTAGTCATAGGGCTACACTCTTCAACCATATTTTTTAAAAATTAATGTTTACTCTCGCCCAAGGTATATCGTAGACGTAATTCCTTTGAGGTTTTTTGTAGGGCTAGTAAATTCCCCGTGAGGGGAAAATCGCAAGATATTAGTACATTATTAGAAAATACCCTAGGTCTAGTAGTACCCGGGGGGAAAGGGAAATCGAGGGGGCCCTTTTTTTAAATTTTTGAGGAATTTTTGTAGGCCTGGAAAATACTTTTTTCATGGAAAATCGGGGGGCCCGGGGGCTAAGCTTCACCCGTTTTAATTATAATTTTTACATTCCTTTTTTAAAAAAAGATTTTTTCCCTTTTATGAGCCTTTTATTTTTTCATGGATTATTTTTTTTATGTTGAGTAACTTTTATTGTTGATTTGTTATTATGTTGTTGTTTTGTTGAGGAATTTTTTAACTGAATAAAAAAAATTAAGACACTTATGCAACATATAGAACTCTTTATTGAAGAAACGTTTCGCCACACAGTGGCTTCATCAGTCCAGTACAAATCAGAAGGGTGTAAGGAGAGGAGGAGTTTGAGGTAATCAGTCCCTCAGCCTGGAGTCGATGTGTTCAGTCCATCAGTCCCTCGACTCCAGGCAGAGGGACTGATTACCTCAAATTTCTCCTCTCCTTACACCCTTCTGATTTGTATTGGACTGATGAAGCCACTGTGTGGCGAAACGTTTCTTCACTAAAGATTCCCATATGTTGCATAAGTGTCTTAATCTTCAACTTGTCGGTTTTAAACCAAATATCACAACTGACAATGATACTGTTGTTGGTGTTGTTGCTGTTGTTGATGCTGTTGGTCTTGTTTTGGTTGATGATGACTTAGAAAAGCTGTTTACATTTTGTCATTGCAATAATAATAATATTAATAATAATAATAATAATAATAATAATAATAATAATAATAATAATAATAATAATAATAATAATAATAATAATAATCACATTACTGCAAAACCCTTACCAAAAACAACAAGTATACTTGAAAAGCTTTTCCATTATATACAAAAATTTGATCTTAACTGCTAAGAGTAGCAAGTTTGTATCTATCACATGTTATATACTGTGCTTTTGTTGACACAGTTGAACCTGTGGTTCATCCATAGCCTTCATCCACATTGTGACTCCCCATCACCTGTGATGAGTAAGCAACCTTCACAGACCGTAAGTCCCCAAGGATATATACACACACCGAGAGGTGTATGTCTTCCATTGTGTATACACTGAAAGACATATAACTATTTCAGGGATTCAAGATTTCCTGACTGGTGGTGGAAAATTTACATGCAGCCTTAATGACTCTCGTGTAGTACTTTTATTGTACTAAAGATGTCCTTTTGCTGTACATGTATATTTATCAAGTGAACCCTGACAAGTTTAGTCGGCTATCCTAGTTTGAAGGCGCTCTTCTTTCCACGGTATGCAAATGAATTGCAAGTGTCTGAAGCAACGTACGTATGAAGTACCAGCGAGGCTTGGCAAACACTGCTGCTCACAATTAATCTGGCAAATTTATCAGTGCCAAGAAATCGTGTGTGAATGTATATTGTACACTGGCGCACTGCTTGGAAAGTAATAGTTGAAACCTGGAGGACACATGACCAGCACACACGCATGTTATCTCCGGCTGTAATCATCAGACCCATCATCTACATGTTTTAACCCGGTGTGTGTGTTTCAATGTATACTTAAAATATCTACATATGACTTGCGTGGCCTCGCGCTGCCAGGGGTAGCTTACCTGAAGGTGATGTCGAGCGTCAAGGCCCACCCGGACTGGTCCCAGACCAGGCTACCCGACGGAATCATAGCCTGATCAACTAGGCTGTTACTGCTAGCAACACGCAGCCCAACGTACACACCAAAGCATGACTGATCAATATTACTTATTCATACCTGTGTCATTGCAAGGGGTTCCACAGTCTGAAGCACACTCTGTAAGGTGCCTGTGGTCGTAATAAGAGTGCTTCCACAATATTTACCAACGAAGGGTTAACCTGAGGATTACATAAACCCTTAAAATATGTTCAAGTAGGTGTGAGGGGATTTTCACGATAACACAACCTCGAATTAACCTTCCAGCCACACTAGGGAAGAACACAATATACAGAACTCAAATAGCAACTTACTGTAGTTGATGTATCCTATAGACTTGTAGGACTTTAGGGGCACTGGCGTTCTAGACATTGTCTCTCCTTCGATGCCCACCATCTCAAGTTTCCCGACTAGCTCCTGAACCCTGGATTAGGAACACATGATTCCTGTATATTTATGATGAAAATTTATGCTAGGAAAACTGACTAATTAAGTGAACTGTATAATTATGGAGACTTTAAGTGGACTTGACTGACTTAGGTATTTGTTTTTTTCTATTAAGTTACAATTATTAATCATATTATTTCATATCAGGAACATATATTATTACTCTTACCCAGTCTATTACACTGGTGATATGTCCTGACACCTCACACTAGCAGATTGTATAGAAAACTGACCAACCTCTATCAACCTTACTGTTGTGTGGGGGTTTAACCCTCGCTAATATGTAGTCTAATTCACTGCTCCCACATCGCATTTTCTGTCGTCCAGTTATTAGGTTCTTCCATTTCATTCTCTGGCTAGATATTTACAGATGTCTGTCCTCTTCACTTACATTATAGCAATAAATTAACCGTTAATATTACTAACTGATACTACAAAATTCGAGAAATGTTAAGGTCCGTCACCTTCCATCCTCCCGCTGTGCTTCTCTTCCTCTTATCTTGTTCACATAATATATTTATTAAAATTTAGGGATATTTCTGGGTGTGTAATACTTTTCCTTATCAGAATATTAGTTCCTACAAAAATACAATAATTCCACTTTAATTAATGATTACATTATACAAGGGAATTATACGGGATATGTTGGTTCCCTGCGACTTATTACC